CAGCACATCTACATAGCAAATTAATGAACCAAACTTTTGATTGACAGTGCTTGTACATGAGGACATAGGATTTTACCACTCCTTTATGTTGGTACCCTTAACCCCGCGGTCGTTATATGTATCTCTAACCCTATCCCACTTCGGGACATTAAAGGGCTTCGATTGTACTGTGTACTCCATTTATTTCTCGCTGAAGAATGCACGAATATTCCGTACGCCATGCAGACTCCTGTTGCACTTGGATCAACATTGATACACTTGTTTTCATGTCATCTTTCAATAAATAGCTTCCGCAAAATGCTATGCCGCGCATGTACGATATGCCACGCTATCTGAAACCTGTGATTCTCATAACCAATACAGATACATACATGCACATGTGTGCAGCCACCAGCTAGTATTAGCATGTCAATGATACAAACACCAGCAAACAAGTAAGGACCAAAGATATCCAGATACAAGGTGCTTAATATATTTTATAAATGATTTACGAAGAGAACATCTTCGCGTATAGCATCTGCTGTTTCTTTTCCGCTGCTGCCAGCTTCGCTTTTGTCTTGGTCAGCAAGTTAGAGATTCCCTTATCCTCTGGGATCAGTGCGTGTGCCTCGCTCAGATCCTTAACAGCATCCTCAGATAGCTTGAGTGTGTTGTACGCCTGTGCGCGTCTATATAGTGCTTTAGCCTTGTCGACATTGGTGCAATCGCTCTCCACGACTTTCGTAGTATCAGTCACAACCGAGGCTGACTTGCCGGGCGTCTTCAGGTTGCATGCAGCTCTGTTTAACAGGCACGCAGTCGATACCTTGGTCGCCTCCGCGCTGGCATCGGCCTTTGCGGTGTATCTTAGACTCTTGGTGTACTTCCTGATCGCTTGGGCATACTCGCCTTCTTTGAAGTATGTGTTTCCCTGTGACTTAATTGCCTCCGCAGCGGCCACAAGGTCACCTGTAGTCAGCTCGGGTTGGTCTTCGGGCCAATCGCCATAAACGTCCAAACCATCGGGCTTACCTACCATATCCTCACCCTCAGCAATCTCACCACAGTCCTCAATCACCACATCCTGTAACGGCTTATCCGAGGACGTTTCGAGGTTCTCAATCATGTGCACAAGACCCATACCTTTCACGACCTCACCAAACACCACGTGCTTACCGTCCAAGTGAGGGGTTGCTACGGTGGTAAGGAAGAACTGGCTGCCGTTGGTACCCGGTCCCGCATTAGCCATTGACAGCAAACCGGGACGGGTGTGCTTGCGTACAAAGTTCTCATCCTCGAACTTTTCGCCGTAGATAGACTCACCGCCGGTTCCATTGCCAGCTGTGAAGTCACCGCCCTGCAGCATAAACTGCTTGATAACGCGATGGAAAAGCGAGCCTTTGTAGTGCAAAGGCTTACCTGATTGTCCTGTACCCTTCTCACCTGTGTATGAAGTAAGTGATATATAAAGTGAGCCAAGGCATGGAGAAGTGAAAATACGTATTGGAAACAGAATCTAATCTAATACGAAGGTGTTTGTCCACAGTAACTGTTTCAAAAATCAATGAAACAGCAAGTATGTGTAGTGCAGAAGCCTGTCTGGCATAATATTTCCCTTGTCACCCATACATAGAAACATTTCGGAATACGTGAATATCGATTGAAGTGAACGAGATTCAAAGTCTAAGACCGTGCCCGTCAAATCAAATCATTTCGGTAGGTGGGTCTTTTTATTGAAGCGTAAATACTACACATTCTCTAACGATGGTTAATGACATAAAAAAGGAATATTTATATCAATCTATGGGTGTTTATATACACATGTGTGCGCGCTATTTCGGCACCATGCTTGGTTGAGTGTCACTTAATCTAACGATAATTTTTCATTGTTACAGTTGGGATTACGAGGCGTCTAGACGCGTGACTTCTGAAGTTTATTGCAGCTGCTTGTGTGGCAATATTGTTTCGGCAATTTTTAAACACATGTTGACACGATTATATAACTCTATAGAAAAAAAAAAAATTTCAAGTACCGCAACGAGCTCAAGTCCGTAACACCATTAGATGCGCGCAAAATAAATCTAATAAAAAAATCATTTGCCCGGTAGAAAAGACTACTTTCCTTCAGGCAATATGCTACACTGTAGACCAAACGCATACTGACAACACAAAGACAGCTCATTAAGCGAAAGTCCATGCCAAACGTACTTAATAGTGATAGTAAAAATTTAACAATTTATTCATATATAAACACACTACAGCAAAAACCAGATGCACCTTCACAGAAAACTACAAACTGTAATACACCATAGCATCATACCTGTACATAGTGCTCGGAAGTTCTCGCATGTCTTGGGCACAGTGTCTGCACACAGCTTCATCACAATACGGCCCTCAGGCACCCCTCCGATGGTAATGTCGAAGAAAACATGGGGATTAGTAACTGCTTCAGGCATTTTAGCTACGATCGACTGAAAAATATTCTAATACGTTATAGTGGGATTATGAGGCGATGAGGTGAGTGTATATCGTCTTTATATGAGTTTTTTGCCCCATTGCCTTTAGACTTTAGAGTCGACTATTTATGCGACACGTATTTTGTTTGCTTTTTCCGGAATTTTTCTATTTTAAGGATCTGATTGGTGCAAAAATTGCACAGGTTTTGGCGGGCCAAAGTTGACATGTGGAGTGACACGACACTTGTGACAGGCGACTGACTTTGACTGCTATTTATTTATTATAAATATGTACTTTGATTTTTTTTCAAATAAAACAACTATATAAAAATGTACATATGTACATCCATACATATCACATATGTGTAAATACAGCTGTATTTACGTATAAATACATATCGCGGCCTTCTGAAAATTGAACAACATATGTACTGGATATTCTGGTAAATACTAAATAGTCTTACGTGTGTATGTTGTAAACTTGTAAATACATGGGTTTTGTATTTATTACATACTCCGTGTAGTACCGCCTATACCCTATTACATACATAGACATAAGAATAGTAATAAACTGTTAGTTGTTTAACGCGTCTAACGTATACACCACCGATACAGGGGTCAACTACCTACTTCATAGACCAGACCCATCGGTATATCGAGATTGATTAATATCTTTAAACGCATATCCGATTTGAACATAAATTTAGAATGATGTCTTCCATCGACAGCAAGGTCCTGAACGCCGCGGCATGTCTTCTGGCAGTTGGGGCAATCTTTCATCTGCATTGTAAGTACATACGCGTAAGAACTTTATACACTAGCTTCGAGATCGTGTTAACTACAACCGTTGTTCAGCATAGATAAACATGAAGACATCACGAATGTTAATGACGAACATAGCTGCAATAAACTGCATAAAGCGTTTCAACCCACATTGTGCTACAGCACTAGTAAAATCGATGAGTGGACCTCTTAGGTTTTAGGCTCGTCCGAGTGTTTCGTGACCTACACATATTCGTGACAGTACTCTTTCCGGAAAGATGAACCTGTAGCAAGCCAATTATTGTACGTGTTTTTTCGTACACTCTTTGCCGCCTTTAGTTAATATTTAACTTAGGTGGTTGCAGATTATTGTATTAAACACCACGGTTCTTACCTCAGGTGCGTCCTACCCGGCAGCGGATTTAACATTTAGGAATTAATTAGTATTTAACGATTTTTAAATGTTCTATATATGCCATGTATGATGCCATATCTCTCCTTTGAGACATACAAGTACGTAGATGAAGAAAAGCGCTGCTGTATAGTATATGTAAGCATTGTAGGTGTAATCGTGCGTTACATACCTATTCGGTCAATTCAAGGGCTTTATACTTCTGGTGGGATATTATAATCATCTGTATTCAGGCCCTTCTTTACATTCTATGTTATTTTATGCCGACTTGCAAACGGAAACTGTGAACTGTTATAGATGCATTGGAATTAGTTGTTTAATAAAAACGGTATTCGAAAACGAAGGGTTGTAAGCATGATACTTGTACCCTTTCACATAGTTCATATCGGTATTGATCTCACAAATCTGCGCCAACATCTGTGTGTAGTCAAATTTATCCGTTCGATGATGAATACTGGCGTGTATTGTGTGACAACCGCTCATTCAAGTGGATTGCATACCTACTACGAGTATACCTCCTTCCAATGCAGAATTTATACACACATTTTCGTGGTGCAAATTCGCATGTACATCACGCATCTAGTTGTATGTGATAGCCCTCTTATACAGATATGGATTCAACCCATATATATATTTGTGTGAAAGTTGCTCTATATCAGTGGACTCTCTCTCTTCATGGATTCATCCGTCTTCACTCAGCTACAGCTGTTTTAACAGTAGTAGATGCTTTGGCACCAACACACCAAATATCAGGCGCATGATCAGACTACCTACCATGAATTATCATGTGCGGTGGTCCCCATCATTGAGCACTGATGGCTGCAACATAAGACCACACTCTCTTGCAAAATGGGCACCCTGCAGCAGATACTCACTACTTTAAAATATCTATGTATCAGTATATAAAACCACTACTTTTAAATGTCTATGTATTAGTATATGAAACCACTACTTTTAAATATCTATGTATGAGTATATATAACCACTACTTTTGAATATCTATGTATCAGTATATGAAACCACTAGTTTTACATATCTATGTATCAGTATATAAAACCACTTTTACACAGTCCGCGCAGTACCGTACGCGGTGAGCTATATTTCAGCATCGGTGGCTGCAAAGCTGGGGCGCTATGTTGACACTCTGGCACGAAGCTCTTATTGCAATGATATATATATATATATATATGTGTGTGTGTGTGTGTGTG